AAGAGACGCTGCTCTGCCTCGTTTTAATACTGCTGCTGCTGCTCCAGCTGCCACAGCAGCCGCAGCAGCAGCAGCTCCCGCCTGCCTCAGTTGCAGCAGCAGCAGAAGCACGCCAGCGTAGTATTTTTGCTTCCGATTCAATGTAGCAGCAGCACCAAAAGAAGAAGCAGCAGCAGCAGCAGCTGCTGCTGCTGCAGGTGCTTGTCTGTCTTTGTTTGCACGATAGGTCACGATGTGTCTTTCTTGTTCCCCTTCGCGATTTGTCGCAGCCGCTGCTGCTGCTGAAGCGAAAGCAGCAGCTGCTGCTGCAGCACGGAGATGCCAGAAGCAGCAACAGCAGCAGCAGCAGCAGCAACAACAACAGCTAATAAGGATGGGCAGCATTAGCAGCAGCAGCAGCTGTTGCTGCTGACGATAATGAAAACTAGCTACCCTTCCACAGCCCAGCTAGCCACACCATTGTATCGCAGAGACGCCAGCATCAGCAACAGCAGCAGCAGCAGCTGCTGCTGCTGTTGCTGCTGCTGTTGCTGCTTTATATTTGTCCGTGCACAGTCAGCAGCAGCAGCAGCAGCAGCAGCAAGTCTGTTACTTCTTTATTTGAGACTTTCCTGCGGTGTTCAAACACCTGAATCATTTGTGAGGTGCAGCTTGCCGGTGCCTTCCTAAACCTTAAACCCTAAACCCTAAACCCTAGACGCTAAACCCTAAACCCTAAGTCCTAACATAGGGACAGCGAGAAACAAGACAAAAATTAGAAGAGACAGGGATGCGACCTATCCGTTAAACCCTAAACCCTAAACCCTAGCGAGTAATACGTAGATGGGGTTTTAAGTGTGAAGCAAAGCCAGCAGAGGCCAGCGCTGCAGCTCTTGCTGCTGCTGCTGCTGCACTGCTGCTGCTGTTGCTGTTGCTGTTGCTGCTGCCGCTACCTCACATCCTGCAGCACAGGCTCCGCGCCTGCTGCTGCTGCTGCTGCTGCACCTTGCTGTGTCTGCGGAATGGAACTGTCCCCTTCCTTTTGTGGGGCTCCCATGAGGCTGCTGCACGCGCGCAGCACTGCGGTGCACATACACCACAAACAGCAGCAGCAGCAGCAGCAGCAGCAGCGGCAACAGCAGCAGGAAAACCTGAACACTCTTAATGCGCACATAGTGTCTTTGCCAACCTATTTTGCTACAGCTGTGAGGTGTACGTACACTTTTGTGCTTCGGTGCAGCAGCCGTTGCAGCAGCAGCTGCTGCTGCTGCTGCTGCTGCAGCGGCAGGTGGCGCCCGCTAGGTGCTGCTGCAGCAGATCATGTGACTCCACCACAAGCAGCACATATTCCTCATCGCTGCAGCAATATTCAAATCAGAAAAAGCAGCAGCAGCAGGAGCAAATAAAGAAGCAGCAGCAGCCGCGCGCATGCTGCCAGCAGCCGCAGCAGAAGAAGCAGCAGCATCAGCGAACCGCGTCAACAGCAGTAAGTGCAACGCCAACAGCAGCAGCAGCAACAGCAGCAGCAGCAGCAGCAGCAGCAGCAGACCTTGTTGATGGGAGGACAGCTTTTCGCAGCAAGCACCTCGCCAGCTGTATGTGAACCAGGTGGCGGGCAAAGGCAAAGGGAGCTTCAGCAGCAGTAGCAGCAGGAGCTGCTGCTGCTGCAGCACCAGCTGAAGCAGCAGCTGCAGCTCCAAATGCAGCAGCAGCTGCAGCACGAGCTAGGTGCACTGCTTCCTCTACTCTGCAGCAGTTCGTAGCAGCAACAGCAGCAGCAGCAGCAGCAAATGCAGCGAGCGCAGCACCAAGAGACATCAGTGCAGCAGCGGACGAAACATAAAGCATTCGAGGCAAGCAGCAAAGCCTCAAAGCAGCAGCAGCAATAACAGCAGCAAAGCTGAGCTCTGCAGCAGCAGCGGCAGCAGCAGAAGACCTGTTGCTGTTCAGTAGTGCTATGGAAAGCTCGTAACATGCGCGAGGATCTCGGGGCCTCAGGGCGCTGCAGCAGCAGCAGCAACAGCAGCAGCAGCAACAACAACAGCAGCCGCAGCGAAAAGAGAGCATCTACAAAGTTGAAGCGGCAGCAAGCCATCTAGTTCAGCAGGCGCAGCAGCACCAGGAAGACCCACAGCACAGTGCCACACAGCAGCAACAGCAGCAGCAGCAACTGACATATCAGCAGCAGCAGCAGCAGCAGCAGCCGAAGCAACAGCAGCAGCAGCAGCAGCAGCAGCAGCTGACTGTGCATTGTGCAGACACTCCAGTGCTCTCTGGGAGGAGGCGCGGGGATCGGTTTCCAACGCAAACAGAATCAGCGGCAGCGGATCCCTGCAGCAGCAGCAGCAGCAACAACAGCAGCAGCAGCAACAGCAGCAGCAGTCTTTACCACTGCTGCTGTATCTTTCTTTTCCTGCATTTGCCTCCATTTATTTCTCGCTTTTCGCCTGCTGCAAGCCGCCAGTAGCAGCAACAGCAGCAATAGAAGCGGCAGCAGCAGCAGCAGCAGCAGCAAACGCGCAAGGCCCTTACCCCGGAAGCGCCCTTGAGGCCTCTTTGTAGGCAGCAGCAGCTTGCTGCTGCTGCTGATGTGCAGCAGCAGCAGCAGCAGCAGCACTCAAGCAGTGGCCCAAGCCCACGAGGCAGGGCCTCCAAGATAAAGAAGAAAGGGGGCCCCACGCGCTGCTGCTGATGCTGCGTCTGGGCACCCCACGCAACAAACCCTAAACCTAAACCCTAAACCCTAAACCCTAAACCCTAAACCCTAAACCCTAACATCTGAGCCCTGACTCCTCACCTGAAGCAAGCAGTGGCTTCTGTGTACTGCGACAGCATCATCAGAAACACTCCTTCCTACAAAACGCCCACAATCAGAAAGAGGCGCTGCAGCAACGGCAGCAGCAGCAGCAGCAGCAGCAGCAACAACAGCAGCAGCAGCAGCAACAGCAGCAGCTGCTCGTACCGTGTAGAAGCGCAAATCTTCTGCTTCTGGGTACCGCCGCAGGCGCTGCAGCAAGCCGAGTAAATCTGCTGCCTTCCCTGTGCACCCAAGCAGCAGTAGCAGCAGCAACTGCTGCAGCAGCAAATATACTGCGGCAGCAGCAGCAGCAACAGCAGCCGCAGCAGCAACTGCAGTAGCAACAGCAGCAGCAATAGCAGCCAAAATACCCAGCTGTATACAGCAGCTGATGAACACGGGGGCGGCATAGAGTCCATCGCTTAGAACTTCTAACGCCCTGCGACCGCAAAACCTAAACCCTAAACCCTAAACCCTAAACCCTAAATTGTTGTTTTTGAAGCCTCAACGTCAAGCCAATTGGCTTTAGCTTTGGCTGCTTCCACCTTGCACTGTTAACCCTAAACCCTAAACCCTAAACCTTCAATACTAACCCTAAACCCTCAATAATGAAGGTCAAACCCTTAAACCCTAAACCCTAAACCCTAAACCCTTACAGGCGAGCAACCTCAAATGCGAGGGGAATGTTTCGCTCCGCATGCAGCACAATCGCTTGCAGGCTCAAGCTGACACTGCAGCAGCAGCAGCAGCAGCAGCAGCAGGCAGAAGCAGCGGCAGCAAGCAGCAGCAGCAGCAACAACAAACGCCAAATGCTGTCAAGGCCTGGCTTCAAGTGAACGAGGGTTTAAACCCTGATGATTTAGGGTTTACAATTCAACGAATTAGGGTTTAGGGTTTAAGAAGCCAGGTTTTAACGCGTTAGGGTTTAGGGTTTAGTAAGGGTTTAGAGTTTGGCAGACTAGGATTTAGGGTTTAGGAAAATAGGGTTTAGTGTATAGCGAGCATGGGTTTAGGGTTTAGGAAAGCAGGGTTTAGGGTTTAGCGAGCTAGGGTTTAGGCTTTAGAAAGATAGGGTTTAGGGTTTAGCAGACTAGGGTTTAGGGTTACTGTGAGAATCTGCAGAGGGGAGGCAGCAGGCTCGTTGGGTAGCGAGAAGCAACAGCAGCAAGCGCTGGGCTGAGCAACTGCTCTTGCTGCTGCTGCTGCTGCTGCTGGCTTTGCTGCTGCTGCTGCTGCAGTTGCTGCACCTGCTGCTCAAATTCCGCGTCAAGCAGCGTGTCTTTGCTTTGCTGCTGCATTGCGCTATCATCTGCTTGCTGCTGCCGCTGCTGCTTCTGCTTTTGCTGCCGCACGAGATCTAAGAACTCCAGTGGGGTCTGTAGCAGCAGCAGCAGCAGCAACAGCAGCAACAGCAGCAACAGCAGCAACAGCAGCAGTGGCAGCAGCAACAGTACAAGACCCGCCAAAGGCGTTCAAAGTGCGCATGAAAGTCACTCCTGCTACTGCTGCTTCTCGTGCTAATGTTGCTTGTGCTGTTGCTGCTGTTGCTGTTGCTGCTGCTGCTGCTGCTGCTATTGCTGCTGCTGCTGCTGTTGCTGCTTAAAAACATACCATCCCAGCAGCAGCAGACGAGAGCGCGACAGCTATGTGTCTGCAAACACCAAACCCAAGAGATCGAGAAACAGCAGCAGCAGCTGCTGCCAAAACTGCTGATGCTGCTGCTGCTGTTGCTGCTGCTACTACTAAAACTGCTGCTGCTGCTGCTGCTGTTGCTGCTGCTGCTGCTGTAGGGTGTGCTTACAGGGCCCAGCTGCAGCAGCCAAAGTGAGCGGCAGCAAGGAGTGCTGCTTCTTGCTGGCAGTTCAGTACTCCAGACCCAAACAGGAGAAACAGCAGCTGCAGCAAACCATAAACCCTAAACCCTAAAACCCATACCTCAAGCTCTAAACCCTAAACCCTACCTCAAGACCCCGCGCTACGGCTCCGCGTAAAGCGTCAGCGTTGATGCTGCTGCTGCTGCTGCTGCTGCTGCAGCCAAATATTTAGACAGAGGCGAGCGACAGGCAATAAGGGCTGACGCCCTAGCGTTTAGGGTTTAGGGTTTAGGGTTTAGGGTTTGGAGCCTGCCTTGGGCCTCAGAGGGTTTAACAGAAAAGCAGTTTGCAGCTCTTTAAGGGCCTCTTCGGCAAGCCCCAAACGATCCAGTGTGTTCCCCAGCTTCACCTGCAGCAGCAGCAGCAGCAGCAGCAGCAGTAGCAGAAGTAACAGAAGCAGCAGCGGCAACAGCAGCAGTAGCAGCGAAAGCAAAACAAGAAGCAGCGTCAGCTGCAGCAGAATCCCATCGCGTGCAGTGCCTCCTTAATCGAGTGCAGCAGCAAAAGAAGCAGCAGCAGCAGCCAGCAGCAGCAGCAGCAGCAGCAAACCAGGATGGAATGTGCTAGAGGAGATGCTTCCCAAACCCTCCTCGTCTCCTTCAGCAGTTCACAGCCCTTGCGAAGTCCGTCGCTGCTGCGGCTGTGTATCTGCAGCAGCAGCAGCAGCAGCAACAGCAGCAGCAGCAGCAGCAGCAGGTTGCTCGCTGAAACAGACAGCGCCGCTGCAAAGCCGCCACACGGCAGCAGCAGCAGCAAAAGCAGCAGCAGCAAAGACAGAAGCAAAAGCCTCCCCGAGTGCTTCGAGTTGCATTTCATAGGCAGGCAGCGGAAAGCTTTTGCTGCTGCTGCTGCTGCTGTTGCTGCTGTTGCTGCTGCTGCTCACATAGGCTGTAGCCGACAGCAGCAGCAGCTGCGGGTCCTGCATAGTCCACGACTTAAAGGCCTGCAGCAGCTGCTGCAGCAAACGCTCTGTGCTGCTGCAGCGCAGCAGAGCCTCCCCAAACAGGCGCAGGCTGTCGAGGTGCAGGCACTCGCTGCTGCTGCTGCTGCCGTTGCTGCTGCTGCTGTTGCAGCTGCTGAGAGGGGAGGGCTCGTTGACGTTGCTGCTGCAGCGTTGCTCGCTTCTTTTGCTGCAGCTGCCCTCAGGTGAAGAGGCCCTTTGCTGCTGCTGCACAGCCGCTGCGGGTGCTGCTGTTGCTGCTGCTGAGGCAGGACTGCAGCAGCAGCAAACTGACCGAATGCCGTGCTGCTGCAGCTGCTTCTGAAAAGCAGCAGCAGCAGCTTCTCTCCCCAGCGCCCCCAAACCTCCCCCAGGATGAGCCAGAGACACGAGAAGCTCCGCATAGAGCAGCATTGCTGCAGCACAGAAGCAGCAGCAGCAGCAGCAGCAGCAGCAGCAGAAAAAACAATACGAGCAACATTTGCAGCTGCTGCTGCTGCTGCTGCACCTTGTTGTAGCATCAACGACTCCAGGTTGAGGGGCTGCAAAAAGCAGGTGCTGCGGCAGCAACAACAGCAACACTGATAGACGCAACGGCAGCGGCAGCAGCAGCAACGGCTG